AAGAAATAAAGCAATGTTAGGTTCCAATCTTCCAGCAAGATTACTTCTGTTTTTATCGAACTTCCTTGTGTGTATGCCATGAATATTACAGGAAGCCCATGCTTCGTCCTTACTCAGGAAAGTGCCAAAAGGTGTTCTATATACAGGTATCAAGCTCCAGCCCACAGAGGGTAGGAGGGCATACATTCCCTGGCTAGGACATTAATGAAGTTTAGTGCCAGGGAACGGATAGATGAGAGGGGAATGCTGTGTGTGGGAGAGGGGTTTCCCTTCATTCCTCCACTACAGCAAATCAATCACTGCCAATATCCCACCTCCTTCCCAGGCCCTGCATTGGAAGATAGTGCCAGAAGGAATCAGCCCCAGAGAGCCCATATCAAAAGAAGAAGTGGCACTTACGCTGGTGCAGATCTGGAGCAGCTCCTGAAACCAAGGGTATGTCTACACTTGGAGCTGGGGTGTGATACCTGGCTCGCGGAGACATACCCGCGCTAGCTCTGATTGAGTGCAGCTGTGGTGGTGCAAGCAGCATGAGGAGCTGACCGCCTAGAGTATGTGCCTTGTCTTTTGGACAGGACAGTACTCTGGGCAGCTAGCCCTTGATGCTGTTTGTACCACTGCAGCTATGTTGCTATTTTTAGAATGGTAGATCGATATGAGCTGGCGTAGGTATGTCTCCTCGAGCTGGAATCGCCCCCTAGCTCGCAGTGTCAGCAAACCCTAAGAGACGTCAGTGGGAGAAGTGAAACTGAAAATCAGAGCACTAATTTGGGTGCCCAACTATGGATCAAGGAGCCTAAAGTAGGACCTCATTTTGTAAAGTCTTAGTCTCTGGCCTCACATTGACTGAGATGAGAACCTGCCCCAGAACCATGATGGGCCTTGTGCTTCACATCCTTGTTCGGTTCTTGAACACAAGAGCTTGCCCCAGGAGCCCCACAAACCTGGCCTTTTCTTTTCTCAATTCATGAAACCCTTCAGAATGAGCACTGCTATATGCACACGTCCCTGCTGACATCCCCTAGCCGTGAGGGGAGAAGGCTAACCCCCGCCTGCACATCCCCGAGCCTGGATTTCCTGAGCTTACACCTAGGGTGGGGCTTCCTTCTCCTGAACTTGGAGCTGGCGAAACTGACCAGAGGCAGCACAGTCACAGCCCTGCTTCGTCTCAATATGCCTCAGGTTTAATCCAAGGGGCTTCCCCACGCTACACCCACCTGTCTCTCCCGTTAGAGGTCCTCTAGTTCACCGGAAGCTATTGGAATCATTGGGTAAAGTGCGATGTCTGGTACTATGCAGGATCAGAGATGGAGCTAACCCAGAATGAAGCCTAAACCAACCCCCCCTCCACGGACTGAAGGGGACATGCACAAAACCAAGATCCAAACTTCTTAGCCCATTGCTATCAAGACCCCCAAACTGGAACCCTGAATCATGAACCCATCTCCCCACCAGATCCATTTACCGTGGGATCTAAACTGCATGGCCCAAGCCCATCCGTGTAAAAGTCAAAAAAGTTCTTCAAGGAAGGGAAAGGCAGAAATCGCCGTGTGAGTAGCAGTGCAAAGCTATGATTTCATGGGTGAAATTCTGTTCTCATTGCAGACAATGCCAAAACTCCCATTGGATGGCAGTGGGGCCAGGAGTCCCAACAAGCAACCAAACAACTTTCCCTAGAACTCTGCGGGGAGATAAAGGGCAGTTCACTCATTCTCCCCAGCACAGCAATCCCGTCTGCTTTGACCGGAGGGTAGGGGGCAACAAAACAAGTGGGGGAGTGGGGAGAATGACTAGAATGTGACCACCCCCCCATATTCGAAGTGTGTGCACGCATGTGCATGCGCATTGTGTGGGAGAGGAGTGGGTAGAGTGGCGGGGTGTGTGATGCATACGCTGTGTCTGGGAGAGGTGTGTATATGCATGTGCATTGTGGGTGGGAGGTGAGGGTGGGAGTGTGTGCGCACGCATGCATGTGTGTTGTGGGGGGGGGGATGCATGTGCAAATCCTCAGCAGGCAGAGCACTAAGGAAAGCGTGTGTCGTAGCTAACAACCAGCCAGGGCGTTGGCTCTGAAGTACTCTCCAGCTGTCTGTGGGAGTCTCGGGGTCACCAGGGGAGCCCCTTGCCTCAGATTAACTCCCCGGGAGTTTGCTGAGGGATATCACAGAGTCTGGGCTGACTCAGCACTCGGAGCAGCCAGTGGTTCTGTTTGCAGTTGGGAGAGCAGGGGCAGCCTAGGATCTAGCAGGACCCAGCCTGCTGCAGAGGTGTGGCGGAGGGATGGGGATAGCACCTCCCTGTGGTTCTGCTCCTGGAGCGGGAGACGGGGCCAGCCTTGCATCCCCCTGCCGTCTCAGTGCTAGACCATGTCTTCCTGCCCATTGGTGCAGTGTCCTGATGCCTGCCCAGGGCATCCCCAGGCCAAAGAAGGATACAGGGCCACCCCACGACAACCCCTCTTGTCCTATTGCTGAGGGATGATGTTGCTTCCCCACCCATCCCGTTGCCAGAGTGGGAGATCAGACCAACTTGCTGTGTCTCCCTCTGGTCCCACTGCTGGAGGGGGACACGGAGCAGCACCCTCACCCCGATCCTGCTGCTGGAGGGTGAGTCCATTTGTAACCTAACCCAACCGTTTGAGGGAATTACATCAGTAACCCTCGGGGGCGGGGGGGAAATCAACCCCATGGCTGGCACCCCTGGCCTCTGCCCTCTGTGCTCCCAGCTATGCTGGGGTCTAAACGGCTCCATAAATGCACCCTTTGCTTTCTGGCCTCTAGCCCATTGCTATGGCACACGTTCTACTGCTGGTGGCAGTAGTGGTGGTATGGAAAGCTGGAGCCTCCACCACCAACCTTCCCTCCTGTGCCCACTGAATTGTCTCACACTTCCCCAGCCCCACCCTCACCAGGGGCTCTAAAAAAAGAGGGAGGAGGGGCTGGATTGCTGGCTGGTTGGCAGAGTAGAGACCCAATGGATGGGCTGCCTGCCACTCCCACCTGGACAGCAGAAGAATCACTGGCACAGTTCAAGAGCCGGCAGCAGAACACGCAAAGCCACCCAGGGAAAAGGCTGCAGGGAAGGGTCCCTCTCACTAGACTTTAAAAACAGAGTTCCCAGAGCACCAGGTCACAGCAAAGAGGCCATGAGTGGTGTCCACTCCTCCTAGCAACTTCCTGTCATACTCTTTTCTAATGCCAGCAGCCCTGAGCTAGCAGATCCCCAGACAGAATTCTGGCATGACCCGGAGGTGAGAATCAGAACTTCTCAGGGGATCTCTTGACCCAGAATTATTTTATTTAGTGGTTCTCCCTTCTCTGCCCACACAAAGTCAGGTCCAGGGCAATGGCGCACCACGCCCTGTCCTACAAGAACCACGATCGCCCTCCAAATCCAGGAAGAGCTTTCCTGCTCCCCTCCCGCCACCCCCTTTCCAGGGCCCAGCACACAGACCCATTCTAGTTCCCAGCGGCTGCAACAAGATGGCGCTGGGTAGGTGCGCACCCAGGGTTAATCATTAGCCAGCTTAGCACTCTGACTTAGCAAGACACCACAGAGCAACGCCAACCTCCTCGCTTTCTGCACCACTTCTGGGAGCAACCAGGAAGGCTGCTCTAAGGAACGGCGGCAAATCACTAACAGGAAACATGGCTCCAAGAAGTGACCCATCCAAGCCTCAAAACCATGAGCCAAAGTCATTCAAATCCCAGAGTTCCTTTCACCTTCCCATGAAGACTCATTCTTTAGGGACAACTTGACCCTTGGTAGAACCCCACCAACATCAGGGAAGTTACATCAGGGGAGATTTGCTCCACTGGGTTTCACTTCTTTTCAAGAACTCCTTGAAGGAGCATTTCCAAAACTCTCACTCATTTCCACTTGGATTGGACAGGGGGAAGAAAGGGTGATGCTAACCTGCCTTAAAGGCAGGTGAAGGAACTGCTGGCCGCTGGGAATCCTGCATTTCATCTCAAAAAAGCAAGGCGGCAATACAACGACCGTTGTAAAATGGTTCCCTAGCTTGCGGCAGGACACTGCCCGTGTTTCACAACTGGCCCCGCAATTAGAGCGAGAGGGGTTGCTGCTCCCAGAGCTTTTCAGCAATCTTCTCTGTCTGGGATCTTTGCTTGTGACTCTGGGGAGGGGGGCTGGAGGCTGATTTCCAGGCAGCTTATCCACTGCTTTATCTCTGGCCTTGCTGTTCACAGAAGCAGCAGCACTGGGGAATTTCAAGGAGAATTCCATTCTTGTCTCCACTAGTGTGATTTGAAAAATAGGAGCCTGAACTACAGGAAAGTATCCATTCCTGGAGCCTTTCCTTAGTGATCGTCTCTGTTTTACAAAAGGGACTCTCCTACTGCTCCTCCAAGATGAAAATCAAACTTCAACAAACTCCTATAGAACGTAAATGTTTCCACACTGGCTTCTTCCTAGCACGGAACAAATGACTGGAACTATTGTTCACAACACATTTGTTTCACACCTGGCAGAAAACACTTTCTAAAATTCCTCCAAACAAAACAAAATCCCACTGCAATTTTTTTCCCTTTAAAAATCAGATCCACACCTTTATCATCTAGTGACCAATGGATTCTTTCTGTCGAAAGTACATGCTTTGAAATCTTTCCAGTCTAGCACCCACAGAAGGGGAATTTTCATAACTATACCCTGATGGGCCAGATCCTCATCTGGTGTATATCAGGGCAGTTCCGTGGACTTCAATGGAGCTACACCAATTTGCACCAGCTGAGGATTCGGCCTTTTGTTTCCCCATGCTAGGCTTGTTTTGCAAGCTGCAATTTCTGGGGAAGGGCTGTGTTCATTGGCAGTATTCTGATCTGGCTTTTCTCTTAACATTTATAGCACCAATTTTAAAAAAACAACACACAAAAATGTCAAATAATGAAAACCAACCTCTGAAAATCAACAGCCAATACCTCATTATTCCACATCAATAAGGATACTGAGGTGTGAGGAGAGCTGTTAAGGCTTTCGCTTACCTGCGCCAGCTCATGTTGGTTTTCCAAGATCCTTATAGCAGGTTTGATGTCTTCAAAGACCGAGGTGTCTTCAGCAGACTCCCCGGACATTGTGACTGGTTTTAATTGCGTAAACACCGTACTTTCTTCAAGATTTGGGGTGCTCAGAACCAGCCCACTGCTGCTCATCCCTCCTGCAGTCCCCTTTCCCCCCCTTCTTAGCGTGTTACAAACCAAAAACTAAAAAGAAAAAAAATGGTTTTGGACAAAGCTGGAAGGGATTCAAGAACTCGGAAGCAAGCCCGTTGCTAATCCTTAGGAATCCAGGTGCACTGTAGCCTTAAGAAGTCTGATCTGTTACAGAAAAGTCTTACCTGTCCTGAAGTAGGAGGCACACTAACCTGGCAAACTTCAGTGACAGGCCGGCTGAGCCAATCAGGACCGGAGCTAACGCTGCTCTGGCCAATAAGACAGCTGACATCTCTTTAAGGCAACACAAGATACAATGAGTAAAGAGCCCTGCTTTCTGTGACTCTTTCTACCAGCCATGTTACCTGCAGCAGGTCTACCTAGTAAGAGAGAGAGAGAGAGAGAGAGAGAAAAGGGGAGAGAAAATTACAGACAGACTTGCATGAGAATCTAAGTCCAGGGCTAGGCGAGAAACTTTTGCCAGTATAATCATGTTGGTTGGGCTGTGATTCATCACAACATTTTTATATCAGCAAAAACCCCTAGCATACATGCAGCTATACCAGCAAAAAACTCTTTTTACTGGTACGGCTTATTTCACAGAATTGCTATAAGCTATACCAGCAAAAAAACCTCTTTTGCCAGTATAAGCTGCTTCTCCACCAGGGGATTTGCCAGTATAGCTATAGCAGTACAGCAAACCCTTTCTAGTGCAGACAAACCCTAGCTGTGTTCTGTTGTCCCCTGTCAGGGCCTGGATGCTCACACTGGTTTGACACCCCTCACATACACACTGCTGGGTCCAGCATCACAGCTCTGCTCTTTTGGCCAAGATAGGACTCATTTTGGAGCCTATAAGTGCTACTCCTTGAGCAACCAGAGGTAGAGGAGCCATGTACGGTGCTCCCTTCTTGGGCACTGAATGCTCCACCAGGTTGGCGATCTTGAGACCGTAGCCCAGGGACTTTCACTTGGCTTCCTGCAGAGCAACGCTCTAGAGCAGTGGTTCCCAAACTTTAACAGCCTGTGAACCCCTTTCACTAGCAGGTCAAGTCTCGTGAACCCCCTCTTAAAAATGAATATTTCCAGGGATTTTCTCCTTTACCTGAGTATAAATTATAAAAGCAGTGATCTTGGAAATATAAAATTTGTTTTTATGACATGCTTATTACACACTATTTATTATTAATTATTATTTATCATTACAGTATTTTTATTACATTATGAAAACGGCAACACTCTTCCAAGATCTCACTTTCGTAGCTTGTATCACTTTGAATAAGCCTGTTATAAGACAAGGCTCCTATGTTTCATCAAGGAGTATCAGATGTGAAACAGCATGAAGGTATTTAAGAAGCCAACTTAAAGAGTTCCTCCTAC